GTAGGATTTGGGTATTGTAAAACAGATTTTGGGCATGAATATTAGCAATAACAAATTTGAAGGTTCCCTAATATTATCTCAGGGGAAGTATATTGAGAAAGTGTTGGAGAAATTCAATATGCAGGATGCTAAAATCGTAAGTACACATTTGAGAGATCACTTTAATCTCACTAAAGAGGAGTCATCTAAGACAAATGAAGACAAAACAACAATGATTAAGGTTCTGTATGCATCTGCAATTAGTAGATTAATGTATATAATGGTATGCACTAGACTATATATTACTCATGTAGTAAGAATTGTAAGCAGATTCATGTCTAATCCAAGAAGGAAGTAGTGGGAAGCTGTCAAGTGGTTGTTACACTACTTGAAAGGTACTTCTAAAAATGCATTATGTTTCAGAAGAAATTATATCATTTTGGAAGGATATTCCGATACAGATTTGGGAGGTTGTTTAAACACAAGGAAGAGTACTACATGATTTGTTTTCACAGTAGGTGGTTCAACAATTAGTTGGATGTCTCGACTTCAAAAAAACATTACAATTTCAACCACAAAAGCAAAGTATATGGTTGTTTCGAAAGCTAGTAAGGAAATGGTTTGGTTGAATAATTTTCTTGAGGAGTTGGCTATGAAGTTGTGTGACGGTGTTTTTTATAGGGATAGTCAGAGTGTCATTTATCTTGTGAAGAGTCTTGTTTTTCATGCAAGAACAAAACACATCCAGTTGAGGTATCACTTCATTGAGGAACTAATAAGTGATGATATTTTGTTTTTGGAGAAGATCCTTAGGTCAAAGAATCTTGCAGATATGTTGACCAAAGTGGTTACTACTGAGAAGTTGAAGTTTTGCATAGCTTCAACTAACCTTCATGGTTAATTGTTAAGAAGACATTGCACTAGTTTGGGGTGTTATAACTATGAGGTTTACTAGATTTACTTAGAGTGTACTTGATGTGATTAACCTCCAAGTGAGAAATTGTTGAGTATGTGGAGTCTGAAAGGTTATTTGGTCTGACCCATTTACTTTTTTTTTATTATAATAAATACTCATGTAATTGTAAACCTAATAAAGTAAATAAGAATTATCATCTAGTGCAATCGTAGATGTAAGTCATTTTGACTGAACCACGTAAATTTCTTGTATTCTTGTCATTTACTTTCGTCTTATAGTACATTTGTGTTCTCCCAACACCGTGATGGTGGACCAAAATAATCACAGAGGTATAGGGATCCACCAATATCACGCACACATCCTGGATGCTTTGGTTTTCTTATGGTTGTCATCAATGTCTTCTCGACTATAGAGAACAAATGAACCTTGAGTGATCTGTTCAACTAAATCATCATGCAACATATTAATAATAAGTAAGTCACACACTACATTACATAGTAATCAAGTGAAATTGACATTGTAACTTACCATTTTTTCAACAATGGTTCTTGCAGACTCAAAACTCTTTTGTCTATCAGATCTTGTGTGAGTTATCTTCCACATCTTATAGTGGGATGATAGAGATGTAAGGCCAACAAACTCAAGTCTTGCTAACTAAGGCCAACAAACTTAGGTCTTACTAACTCTACTCTTGCCTTCATGAGTCATTGCTCTAATAATGCATACTCATCCACGACGATAGATGGGGTGCATCATTCAACTTTTGTTGCTCCTAAACAACTAGTATTTTATCCTAAAATGCAAATAAGAAAATCATATTAGTACATTATGTGTTAATACAAGAATTATAATAAACTAACATGTCAAGAGGGGTTCAATTGATTGACATGAAACTGCATCTCGTTGTCCTCACTAATTTGATACTATAGATATAGATATGGAGTTTCATCTTAATACTTTTTTAATACATATTCCCTTGTTAAAAAAGTCTTAAAGTCTCTCCATTTGGTTTTTTCTTGGAACACCACGACATAGGAGAGTCATCGAGATAGATGATATAACTCGCGAAAAATTCTCTAAATTTAGCATTGTCTAAATCATTGTAAACTTTGAGCTAGATAGAACTATTTGAGTCATGAAATATACCTTTTATAGGAGTTTGTTTCAGATAGCAAAGAGTATGGTTGACTACTTGTTGATGAGTTGTGTGAGGAGCATACATGAATTAACTAAGATGATGAATTGCTTTGGTTATAACGGGTCTTGTATTAGTTAAATATATGACTCTTCCAATGAGTGTTCTATAGGAGGAGGGGTAATCAATGTTACTCCCAACCTAATAATATCATTGGTATATACAAGAATTACAATATTTATGCTATCTATTGAACTTATACATAAACAATTATCTGAACTAGAATGATGGTAACTATGTGGAAGGAGAAAAGTTAAAAGTTTTTCATACCATTGCTTGTTAGCTTGGCGAAGATCATGTAAAGATTTATTCAACTTACATATTTGGTTAGGTGAAGATCTATTCATTCTACAAGGCATATGCATGTACACTTCTACACACAACTCTCCATTGAGAAATGCATTATTAACATTGAGTTGCTTAAGGTGTCAATTGTACATAGTTATAATAGAGTAACATATGGACAATAGTAAGTTTAGCTACAAGTGAGAATGTATCAAGGATGTCCAATCCTTCTAGTTGAGTGTAGCTCTTTGCAACCAAACGAGCTTTATATTAGCTCACTAATTAATCAACTTTATGTTTGGTTTTGTATATCCATTTGCAACCAATTATTTTTCAGGTTGTTATTTCCTCATCCATGACTATTTCCTATTAAGTAGATTTAGAGGCTTCCTTAAAAGTTTTTGGTTTGATGTTAATATTAATAACACAAACAACATTTTTGAAAGATGAGGATTATCTATCTAGTTTCATAAAGTTTTCAATTGGATATTTGATTCTTGTCTTATTCTTCTGATTTTCAGAACTTAAGATTAATATGATAGTCCTGAAGATAAGTGACAAATAACACAATTATTTCTTATAACCGGTATAGTACTAGACTCCTGCCTTCATAAGTATTAGTGTCTACTGGTTCAAATTGTTGACAATCACTTTCTCCAATATCTATGTTGTTGATGCCATTGTCAAATTATAATGAATACGTAAGGAGATGTTACTTTCATCATTCCCATCAATGTAGTTTCAAGGATAAGGAAACATGTTTTCATAAAACACAACATTTTCGAAACATCTATGTCATGAGTCACCAAATTGTAAATCAAATAACCTTTAGTATTAGCTTTGAATCCAAGAAATATAGTAAGGTCATCCTTAGGGTCCAATTTCTTTCTATTAGCAGTTGTAATGCTAGTGTAACAAAGACAACCAAAAACACGAACATTGGTAACATCACAAGGTTCATTATATTGTTTCTAAAAGGGAGAGACATTGTTGAGCAATAGGGTAACAATACAATTAATCAAATAAACTTAATGAGTCATAATATAACACCTAAACTAGCTAACGAGATTAGATTGGGAGAGTAAAATATGAGTTACATTGATAATATGCGAGTGTTTCCTTTCCATTATACCATTTTGTTCAAGAGTTCAATATAGGTGGTTTGATGTATAATTCCCTTAGATTTAAAGAAATATTACGTATTTAATTCTACTCTAATATCAGATCTAACACACTTAACACATTATGGGAATTGGTTTTCAACAAAAACAATGAAATTAGTAAGATGGTTTCTGGTTTTAAATTTAACCTTCATGAGAAATAAACAAAGTAAATCTAGTGTTATCATCCACAATAGTAAAAAAATATCTATCACCATGCATTGAAATATTGGAATAAGGACCCCTAATATCCATATGAATAAGATCAAAAGGTTCATTAGCATAAGAATGATTAATGAGAAAAGATGACTTTTTTCTATTTTGCCAAATGGTAAGTATTACAAATAAGATCTTTGTTGCTATATGTGTAAGGAAAATGATGTTTCATAATATCAAGCCTCTCGACAAAAAGATGTCACATTCTAACATGTCATAGATCAAAGTTTTGATTAACATAGGATGTGATAGTAATGTTCATACAATAAGATTGATTGACATTCATATTAAGAGTATATAGACTATCTTGAGCATCAATAAATACTCTCTTGAGTTTTGACATCTTGAATGAATGAGGCAAGATTGAGAGGAAGATATAAGTTTATACTTTTGAGAAGACATCATTTTGGACATCAACAACAAATTATATGAAAACAATTGTATAAATAAAATATCAATTAAGAGTAAATTATCATTAATTCTCACATTCCCCATATGAGTAGTAATGACATAATTTTCATTGTGAAAAATATAGTGATAAGGTTAATATAGTTGTTAAAAGAGCAAATAGATCATTTGTGACACCAAAATCAATAATCCAACGACTTTATTTTTAAAAATTTGCTAGATTCATAATGAAGTGTTTGTTATCTGTTTGCTTATCTTATAATATAGATTTATACTAAGAGACTTAATCGATCCGGTTAACTAAAACTAGTAATTAAAACTAATGCTAATATTAGTAAAATTTTTGTTATTATAATTAGCATAATCAATATCATGAACAAAATTTATTTTGAGATGAGAGAAACTCATGTTTTTTTCAACAAACATTTATAATAAATTTAAAATTTTTACATCATTTATAAATTCACGTGAATAATAATTTATATATATATTTATTTATTTATTATTCTATTAAGGTATAAAAAAGAGAGGGAATCAATAATTGTTTTTCCTAAAAATCAACGAGTTTTTCTTTTCCAATTTATGCATTAAAACACACAATTTTATATTGAAATTAAAAAAAAAATATTTATAACTTTAATTTAAAACAAACGTACCTCGGAGACTTTCGAAAATCTGAAAGAAATCACATTTCTCCCGCTCAACAAAATCAAATTAATAATACCGAACCATCATTCAATGCTTCAAAGCTGAACTCAAACCTCCCCTTTTTTTTTTTTTCTCTGCAGCCCCTGTGCAGGGCAAAGAAATAAATCACAGATAGCCAAAGACGCTAACAAAGATGGCGTCGATTTGCGAGACCGATATCCCGCTGCAACTGAAGAAGATCGACGCTTTCGTCGCTTCCTACAGAGACTCCCTCCAAACACTCACAGCCACCGCAATCGAAACCGCGCGATTTCAATGTCACATTTTCTACTTCTCTAGTTCTCTTAATAACAACTAATTTAGGGTTTACACATTTCGACGCAGTTCTTAATCCTTCTCTCTCCCTTTTCTTTCTTTTGCAGCTGAGCTGACAGAGGTTAAAGCTAAACTGAGGGAGGCTGAGGATGAATTGGTAAAGGCACTGGCAGGTACTCATTTATATCTCTTTCTTTCCTTTTGTTTTCTTAGTTCAATTCGTTTTTATTTTATTTTAATTTCAGTTTTTATGCGTTTTACTTTTCGCGCAGTTAAGACTCGGAGAGAGGCAAAGCGAATGGCTCTGAAAGATGCTATTGCTTCTGTGAAGGAAAGAGTTGAGGTTATGAAGACAAGGATTCAGAAGCAGAGAACCAAGAACGAAAAATGTGCCACTGTTGTGTCGCAACACTGTCTTGGTAGTAATCACGTGTTTCACTGCAATTGCATTTATTAACTATATATTGCTAGATATCCGTTTCTGCTATGCTTATTAACTTTTAATCAACATTCTAAAACTAGTCTAATTAATCTCTTAAGTGACCTAGCCAAATGTTAACAATACTTGAACTCTACTGATGCGGGTTCACTGCCCCCTGACGCCGCTAAAACCCCGTTTGGTGCGCGATCATCCTCCGGGAGATCTTCTAGCACTAAGGGGGCTAGTTGAGTAGTTGTGAATAAAAAGTGCAAGTCATGTATTTTAATATGCCTGCATTCATATTTATGTATGCACTATCATATGCACAATATTGAAAGTCCCACATCGCCTACCTCATGTCATTTGATATGGTTTAAATACATGTTAGACTACTCTACATATTGTTAATTGGTTTTATGTTGGAACCTTAACATGGTATCAGAGCCAAAACCTAACATCTTTCCGGTTATTGTCATGGGTCAAAAGTTGTCCTTTAGTTGGGTCAAAAGTACCCTTTGCCTGGTCCGGCAGACTTCGTTGGAGGAGGCGTCATTTGGTATGGTTTAAATACATGTTAGGCTACTCTACATATTGTCAATTGATTTTATGTTAGAACCTTAACACACATAATGTACAGGTTAATGAGTTGTATAACTATATAATCTGATAAATATTGCATTTAATCAAGGCTACAACAATTGGTGCAGTTTCAGTATTATCATAATTAATTGAGTATCTGTATCCATAGGGTCGACGTACTGGTCAAGACATTTGTATAATTTGCATAAGATCTTATGTTCAAATCCCATATTTGCTTTTTGTACCCAAGTCACAAAAATCATATTCATGTTGAGTTTTTTTTTTTTTTTTTTTGTGAATTAAAGAAAGAGGTCTTAACATTTAACCTGTATATTATTTGTTTGCACTTGTTTTTATGAGGGCATATTTATTATCTGTTGTTTTCTCTTTTCTCTCTCCTTAATGTGCGTTTCTGTGCTTACTAAATTTGAATTTTTACAAAATGCGACATATTATGAAGTATCAACTATTCTAAACACTCACCCCTCTTCCCGCCATATTTTTATTCGGTAAAAAGTTTTGGCAGCATCTGAGCAGAAATCAAAAGGAAGCAGTGAACTTAAAGATGAGATCCAGGAGGCCATATCTTGGTACAATAGGATCCTTGGTTTTCATGTTGAAGGTGGACGTGGTAATTGAAGTTAATTTTTTTTTTGTCCTAGGGTTGTCCTTCCCAAATTTGATATCCTCACGAGTTGTCCTTCTTGTTCAGGGGTAAAATTCACTTTCAAGAATATTAATGTGAACAACCCAAATGAGGAGTTCTATTTTACCATCCGACATGAAGATGAAATGTATACATGTGAGCATCAAATATGGTTTGGTTTATAAACTTAAAAGTATACTATTTTGCTTCATGAAACCTGAATTTAGAGTTTTATATTTCAGTGCTATATTGTGAACCATCTCTCAAAGATATCAACGAGTTAATCCATGAATTAAACAAGACAAATGGGCTATTTAAATTTGTCAGAACGATGAGGAAAATGTTCCAAGAAGCAGTGACACAAGGTACAATTTTAGCTATTACATGGGATTCCATTCATGGGTGGGGGAATGGGGAGTAATGGCCCTTGTCCAGTCAGATTATTATTTGAAGCTGTGACTGCTGGAAACCAGGGCTGAATCAGCTGGTTTTTGTCAAACTGGTAAACTATTTCCAATTCAACAGGTTCATCCAGGTTGAAATTGGTGATGTTGCACAGTAGCTGGCCGTGTCAGGGTAAAGGATCGAACCTGGCTCTTATTCATGGCTCTAAGTTGTGGCTATCACTAAGCCTAATGACACCTATGGTAGTGCCATAGTATGATAATTCTAGAAATGGCTAATTTACTTTATCGATAGCTTTGGAAATAGTAAACTAGTCTGTTCAAAATCTTATTAGAAAAAATATATTCTGCCACGTTATTATCATGACCACATTTCTACAATGTATATGCGATCAATTCAACATTTTTTTTACATTTCATTTATATATTTAACATAAATAATTCCAAATTAAATGCTGTAACTAGGTTTTTCATTATTTGGGGACAATTAATGTATTAAATGCTTAATGTATGAATCATGAGATTATTTGAGCATCTTTTTAGTAGTCTTTTAATAACTTCTATATTTCCTCGTCATTGATTATTTGTAAGCGTTCTATTTAATATAAAAATATATTCAAACCTGGACCTTGACTGAGCTAGCTTGTATCTCTTCTCTGGTTTGATTACCCTCTAGTTTTGAAACATTTAAAATGTGGCTTATAACTAATGTCAGTTTCTAAACTACAACTAATCAGGCAGTCTATCTATGACAACGAATGAACACCAAGAATCCGCCTTTATATCTGCATCTGCTCCAATTTTGTCAATATCAACCATTACAGAAGAAAATGAGCATCAAGGTGAACCCACCATAGGTAATACACATCTCCAGAAACAAGTCAATCGAAGAAGGGTAAAATCAGCAATTCTATCTCCTGGATCTGCATCATCTGTTCGCCAATCTCCTCGTTTGAGGGTAAGAATCAAATTGGCCTTTTATTTGTTGAATTAAATTTTATGTTGCAGCACAAGGTGTTACCACAATATCAGGATTCTCCTTATGAGATATTTTTTTCAGTTGCTGTGTTGCCTATTATAATAGTAAAGTCCCTTCATCAGTTCATAACATATTTTCTAATCATCTATTGGTGTGACTTAGCTATATAAGCCGAGAGAAAGATAGTTGGTTAGGATTATTGGTTGACTTGGGCTTTGGTTTCCATTTAAGTGAGTCTGAATGGGGGTTCAAGGAATGATAGACAATATAGAGCCTGTAACAGCTACCTTTGTCACCTTCTTGGAAAGTTGATTTCATGGTTGAAGTCTAGAACATGACTAATTATGTTATTAATGGAAACAGTACAGTTTTAATTAGGTGCTTTGCTTTGACCTCGAGATTATGCTAAGAATGGATTTTTCCTATTAAGGGCATTCTGATGAACGTGATTGCCTCCAACCCTAAGAAACTGGATAACTCGGAAAAGCATGTCTGGTATTAAAATTTTGTTTGTTCGTTAATCACTGAACGGTTGAAAAAGTAGTTTTAATGTGATTTATTTTAAGACTAAACAGGTTAAGAGGTAACCCAATATAATGTTGGTTTTAAACTAAGCAGTTGATATTTGAATTAATGGTTTCCTTCCTTCTTTCCCTCTTTTCATTTTGTCTGAAATTCGAATAAAGATAGACCAAAGTTTAAAATAGTGCTTAATACTAAACTTGATTAAAAAAAGAAAACAAAACTAATTATATTACAAAGTTATCTCTCAAATTTATACAGATTTACATAATTAGTTTAAACCTATGAAACACGAACTTTGATATAGACACCAGATGGGCACTCTCAATGTCTAAAATACATGATATTGGAAATATATGTCCAACAAAAGTTTTACCCCATTGTGTGGTTGGGTATATCAATTATACAAATCGGTTTGATTAATAACCTTGTTGGATATCTAGTATCAATTAAAGATATGCTCAATATGTTGGACAACTTTACTTAATAACAATTAATTTTGAGTTGAAATTTGACATGGTACCAATGCCTATAACTTATCTTGGTGATCACCTATTCTAATTGATTCACTTGTTTTGACAAACATATGTTCAAAGAGTGTAGAGAATGTTGGGTCTTTTGATGGGGATTTACTGGGGAGAACAACATAAATGAGACATGAGCCCAACCCACATAAGGATTGACACCACTCTCAATCCAAAACCTTAAGGCAGTAGGTTATATGTCATACTTCCTTATATGTTGCTCAACTTTCTCATTCTTACCTAATGTGACACCACTCAAACCCACTGCCGATCAACTTTCAGTTCTGATACTTCTTGTTGGGTCTTTCGAGGGGATTCACATAGGAGAAACACAATAATGAGACATGAACTCAATCCATATAAGAATTGACACAACTTTCAATCCAAAACCTTAAGGCATTAGGTTATGGGTCATACTTTCTTATATGTTGCTCCACTTTCTCATTCTTATCCAATGTGGAACTTAGAATCACACTTGTATTTCCTAACAGAGAAGTCTTACGAGTCTATTGTATGCTACCAGAATTTGTTAAACCTATTATGTCACCTACTCTCATAACACTTGTGAATATTTAATTCGAGTGTGTGTTAGAAATCTCAAGTAAACTTGAGATATGACAAAAATTTAGTATATGCTCACTCATTTAATTTGTCATATTTACATACACCTACTTAAAGTTGGCCAACTCATTGTATTCTACCTAACACTTCCTTTTTCTCCCTTTTATATCTCTTCTATTATTATAGTTTTCTCTCATTTTCATTTCATCTTTTTTCTTTCATTTCTCTCTCTTTAAATATTTCTTCACAAGTAGTCTAAAATAAAAAATTAATTAAATTTTTGAAAAAATTATACTTCAAAATAATTTAAAAAATTTAAATATTTATTTTGAATAATAATATAATCTAGTCTAAATTTAAATAAAATATGTATTTTAAATAAATGAATTCTTGAGTATGTTTTAAATTATTTTAAACTAAGATAGGTATTTTAAAACTTATAAATAATGTGAGCGTTGACCCAATAGTTTATTGATTGTGAAAAATAGTTGGTTATGTGAATATTGACTAAGTAGTTTATTAAATATGAAAAAAAATTTGAAAGTTAATTATTTATTAAAAATATTAAATTCTACAATATTTATCATAAAATATATTTGAAGTTATTTCAAGTATAATTTTTTTAAAAAAAATTCTTACTTTTGCGTTACTTGTGAGGAATTAATTATAGAAAGAAAATTTTGAAAGTGAAAGAATAAGTTCAGGTGAGGTGAGAAAAAATTGAATTAGTTGTTATATTTTGAATGAATGTGTGTAAATATGACATGTTAGGTGTATGCATGTTCATTAATATGTGGATATCAACTTCACCTTATAAGTTAGTTTTTGTCTTGTAAAGTTAAGTTAGACTTGAATTCACTTTCTAAGAGATTATATCTTTCAAAGTATTATTTACTCTGATATCCTCTTAGCAACTTTGTATAATATTCTTCTTGGTCCCCTTCCATTTAATAATCTTAAAAATCATACAATTTACTCATCGATACTTCTAGTGGCATTTTTAGTGTTTGTCTAAACCACATAACTGATTTTCTATCATCTTTTTCTTACTGATATCTACTTGTATGCTATTAATAATTATCTTATTATTAATTGTATCACTACACACTCGTCTTAATCTTCTTATTTCTACTGCTGTCGACTTCTCTCTCTTGCTCCTTTAAAGCTCAACTTTCTAAATTCACTGATTTGCACCATTCATTACAATAGGAGAAGCGTGTTAGGAAACACAAGTGTGAGTCTAAGTCTTATATTGTGTAAGAATAAGAAAGTTAAAAAACATATAAGGAAGTATGACCTATAACCCAATACCTTAAGGTTTTAGGTTGAGAGTGTTGTCAATCCCTTATATGGGTTGGACTCATGTTTCATTGATGTTGTTTTCCCCAGTGAATCCCCCTTGAAAGACCTAACCAGTGGTATTAGAGCTGAATGTTGATTGGCAGTGGGTCAGAGTAGTCTTTGTATTGAAAACCTTCCTGATAGAGTGTGTCAGATAAGCGTGTCCCGTTAGAGTGAACGATGGTACATGGAAAAACGATTGATGAGTTTGAGGGAATGTATCAATGTGGAGAAATTCACACTTGAGGGGGAGATTGTTAAGAAATACAAGTGTGAGTCTAAGTCCTACATTGTGTAAGAATGAGAAAGTTGAGCACATATAAGGAAGTATGACCCATAACCTAATGTCTTAAGGGTTTGAATTGAGAGTGGTGTAATCTCTTATATGGATTGGACTCATGTCTCATTCATGTTGTTCTCCCCAGTGAATCCCTCTCGAAAGACCTAACAAAGTGGATTATGGCAGTATGATAAAAGTTGTCTTTAAGCTTAGTAGATACTTTTGAACATGTTAAATGGTGGTGTCACGACCACCATGGCGTACCAGATTTTTAGCCAAGCATCATTTGGCAGTTGTGAAGGGAGACTTGGTATGGTGGTGTCATAGGTTACAATGGCATGTATATATGGTGGAATTTTGGCCTTTTTCCACCCGCCATTTATAACATTGCTTTTCTTCACAAATAACCCTTGATATCTTTCTCCACCTTAATCAAGTTTGTATTTTGTTTGTGACATTCTCAATATAATTTCTCACAAAAAAGTGAGGTATTATATTTGAAGTATTTTATATTAAGTGTGGTAGGTGTTGACTCAAATGCATAAGCAGTATGGATGTGTCAGCACAAGTGTCCAAACCGACACGACACCTTATGTTTGACACTTGTTGGCTTGATGTTGAAGGGAGGTATCGGTATTGGAAATATGTATAATGTCGTTGTTGGGAACACAAATGCAATACAAGACGAAAGTAAATAATAAGAACACAAGGAATTTACATGGTTTAGTCAAAGTAACCTACGCCCACGACTGTACTAGATGATAGTTCTTATTCACACCATTAGGTTTACAATTACATGAGTATTTATAATAAAATAATAAGTAAATGGGTCAGACCGAATAACCCTTCAGACTCCATATACTTAACAATCTCCCACTTGGAGGTTAATCACATCAAACACACTTCAAAGTAAATCTAGTAAACCTCAAAGTTATAACAACCTCAAATTAGTGCAATGTCTTCTCAACAATTAACCATGAAGGCCAGTTAAAGTTATGCAAAACTTCAATTTCTCAGTAGTAACCACCTTGGTCAACATATCTACAGGATTCTCTGACTCAAGGATCTTCTCCCAAAACAAAGTACCATTACTTATTAGTCCTCTAATGAAGTGATACCTCAACTGGATGTGCTTTATTCTTGCATGAAAAACAAAATTCTTTGTAAGATGAATGACATTTTGATTATCGCTATAAAGAATATTGTCACACTTCTTCTTGTCTAGCTCCTAAAGAAAATTCTTCAACCAAATCATTTCCTTATTGGCTTCCGAAATAGCCAAATACTCTACTTTTGTGGTTGAAAGTGCAACACTTTTATGAAGTCGAGACATCCAACTAACTGCTGTGTCACCTATTGTGAAGACAAATTCTGTAGAACTCTTTCTTGGGTCTAAACAACCTCCCAAATCTGCATCGGAATATCTTTTCAAAATGACACTATTTCTTTTAAAACATAATGCAGTTTTAGAAGTATCTTTCAAATAGCGTAACAACCACTTGACAGTTTCCGAACGCTTTCTTCCTGAATTAGACATGAATCTACTAACAACTCCCACTTGACAGTTTTCCAATGCACACTTCTTGTACCCTATCCTACTCATAAAACTATCAAATTTTAAGTACCACTGTTTAGGTGTTTGCTTCAACCCATACAAATTTTTGGTCAACTTACAAACCAAGTTCTTTTTCCCTACAACTTGAAAACCCTCTGGTTGCATCATGTAGATGTCCTCATCAAGGTCACCATATAAGAATGTTATCTTAACATCTAATTGCTCTAGATAT